GTAACATGTAACAGCTGAGCTGTTCCAGATGACCGTTGTCGACGGACGCGTGCTTCGATATCGCAGCATGGGGCACATCTCACTTAAATGCTGTGAAGCATCTCCGGCATCCCGTATGTGTATCCACAATCCCACTCTCAACGAAATCACCATCATTGTTGGGCCCAGTGGTACTAGAAACCACACCGTTGCGCAGCGCCTTCTCAAAGTGTCGGGGCCGAAGGCAGGCGAATGAGCCTTGTCGAACGGGGTGCCTCAAACGCGGTCCCATGCGCATGGGATTGTCATCCCGAAAAGCGGCCGTTTGAGACTCGAGAGTGCCAGCCAGCGTTGCCGGTAAACGGGACTTTTCTGTAACGAGGGAGGAGGCTGAGAACCTTTTCGGGCTGTGCTTATGCACAAGATCGCGATGAACTCGTTTTATAGACAGAGATGCTCCTGGAGGGCCTTCCATCCCGATCTACATGAAACAAATTAGCTATTGCTCGTGCTCGACCGAGAAATCTGCAGGTTATACATTATCGGTACGTCGTTTTCTGGCTTTTTTAATTTTGTTTGAACCCACCTCATCGCTTTTGAACAGGCTAAGCAGTCTATGTTACATATTTACGCTCTCACATTCGAGGTTATTTGTCGAACAAGCCCGCTGTTGTGATTTTTTGCAGTTCAGCCTTCAACCGCCCCATTCGTCCGGAGATCGGGGGGCACCTAGGAGAACGAGCTGGACTCTGGTTCCGATCCTCTTGCGCAAACCTTCATCTTTCCCGGATTCGTCTGCTACCCATGCCTCTCTTACTTCCATGAAGTCACCTTCGGCGCCCAATAAGTGTCAAGCTTGGAGGCGTCGCGTTCTAGGCATTATTGGACGAGGTTGCAGAGGGGCCTTTTGAGGTTGGCTTCGCTTTTTTTTTTTTTTCATGGGGAGATCTAGAAGAAACTGATTACTGTGTCTTTTAGAATATCCGTGGTGTTAGGCGTGTGCCATATCGCGGATCAGGTTATCTTTAGGTTCCAGTTACTGCTGTAATCGACAAAGCCTCAGTGCTGATGTCCCGGGGTCTTGAGCGTTGCACCTAGGACCTGACAAGTGGTTTCATTCATCTCGCAGAAGCGTTCGTCGGAACGATTCTCATCTCCCGTGGAACGTGGTAGCATCTTCCTCCA